CATGCGAGCCACGACCTATTGCAAAACCAAATGCACATTAATACCGCGAATACCCAGTTGTTTAGGCCTCTATGAGCAAAGCTGATCGTGATTTTGAAGATGGCATTCAGTTCATGAAGGTATAGCTTTGACAAGATCTCTTTGCGTTGGACTTTCTATGCATCACATTCTAGATCCCCAACTTCTCCATAGCCTTGAAGCCATTTGACCCAGAAACGTACGAAGAAGATGAAGACGATGACCAAATTGAAGAAGGTCGCAATCGTTTGAAATTGAAGGTGCTTTTGTTTGTTTTCGCGCAGCACGTTCATCGTTTTCCTTTTAAGCAGAGTACAAGGTGGCGGTTTGCTCACGATGCAGATGGAAAGTCATTGGTTATCGGGAAAGAACGCTTTGACGTGGAGTCTATGCCCATTACCGCAACATGCAACATCTATTTGTTCGACAAGGGACCGGTCTCTACACAGAAAATATCTGATAGAAAGCTGATATTCCGTCCTCATTCTACAGACAGCGAAACACACAAAAAGGTTTGTTCTCAAATTTGGAAGTTTGGGCACTGTTAATTATATTAGTGTGATTTACTGCATTCGTTATTGCCATTAAAGCTATTACATATTTTCAAAAGCTGTTTTTCAGTTTATTATGTGCATGGCCGAGCGTACTACTCGTAAAAGCTCTCAGGTTTGGATGGTCGCAGAAGTTGGAGCGAATCCTGAACAAGCACGAAGGGTTGGTGAAAATCTTCCTCTATTGCTCTAACCTAAGCAACCATTCTCTCGTCACAGGAGGCAGTACGGTGAGAGGAAGAGGCGTTTAGAGCTGCCTTGCGTAAAGAGTTTGATGCTCCGCTCATCGGTGCAAGTGATTCGGAAGATAGTGACATTGGCCATTGTGTATACGAAAGAGATGCTGAGGATTCTGATGAGGTAATCTAACCAAATCTCTTTGAACATCTTTTGGTAAAACATGTTATTTTGATGAGTTTGTTTTTATTAATCTTCGAACCGCAAAATCTATGATCCTTACCAATTTTTGATTCATCTACTTCACTTAAAATGATTACTTGAGAAGGGTAATATGCGTATATCATAGATTACACCAGTGCTATAATTCAGCTACTCCTTTTTTAGAAGTGAACTGTTTTTTAGGAGTTCCAAAGAAAGAAGCAACAGCAAAAGAAGAAGATTGTGACAAGTGACGAAGGAAGTGATTAACCCTAAGTTATCTTTTCACTGATCTACATTCTTTGTTTTAACAATCATCTCAGTTTTCTACGAGTTAACACAAACTGTACACATTGTTGATCTTCGTAAGTATAAACACTTTATCAAACATGATTATAATGTACACCATCGAATATGCTTGACTGCCGGCTTTGAAACCTTCCATAGTTTTAGAAGTGCTCTTTATAAGTGTAAATAAGGAAAATAATGAAGAAGAGTGCTGTTTGGCGCTAATTTTCAAGCAACAAGTGCAAATCAATAAGGATCTGCAAGTGCTTGGGCAAGCATTTATGATCATTTGGAGATTAGTTAAGACTTTAAGCCTACATGTGGAGTATAGCTTCTCTAGATTGGAGAAGTTTATATACAGAATTGCAT